TGGCAGGTGGCACCGAGTCAGCAGTCCCCACATGTTCAGTGGGCTTGCGATGGAAAGGCGCTGTGGGTGCACAGACAGGACTGCAGCACAGGAGCTGCTGCAGGGAATGTGATCCTGTGCCCAGGGCCGAGGGCAACAGCCAAACATGTTCCTTCCAAAGGAGGTCTCAGGTTCACTGGGGCCTCGAGGGCGATGGGGCCAGGAGCTCCACCCCTGAAAAGAGGTATGGGCCCCACCTCTGAATCCCTTGGCCAACTCATCCTTAGGGGACGTTCTACCTAGGACTTCATGAGCTCCTCAAACTCGTGGGTACACACTTCACAGTGTTCATAACTTCCCAAACCCTCTACCTTTTGCCATCTGTCTCTACTAGAAGACCTGACTCAGTACTATCTCCTTCAGTGTTCTGGTGCTCCACAGTGATTTACAAAGACAGAAGTTGAGATGTGGGTGCTACACTGCTGCTTACAGCTCTGGGCCACACGGACCGAGCAGCATGGCCTTGGCCAGTGTTCCCTGGTGTCTCAGGCACAGCCCCTCTTCTGCCTGGAGCCACTATGGACACAAGGAACAGTCCACAGCCCTTGGAGTTCTAATCACGGTAAAGGAAGAAGACTGCACTCAAGGGAGCAGCCACATGCTGCCAGAGTCATCCTGGCTCCCCTTCCAGCACCACTTGTCTGGGCCCAAGACGGCCTCCAGTCTGCTTCCTCATCCCCATTCTCTGCTGCTGATAAGGACACCTTCCTAAATGGTATTTCTTTTTTTGGTACCAGGGATTGAACCAAGAGGCACTCCACTATTGAGCTAAATCCCCAGCTGTTTTGTTTTTTATTTTAAGACAGGGTTTAGTAAGTTACTGAGGCTGGTCTTGAACTTGTGATCCTCCTACATCAGCCTCCCGAGTCCCTAGGATCATAGGCGTGCACCACTGCATCCAGATGAGAGCAGTATTTCTGACTGCTTCACTTTAAAAGCCTTCAAAAGCTCTCTTGATTTGCACTGGATAAAAATGTCAACTCTTAAACGTGGCAATCAACAGTCTCCTGTATCCAGCTCCTACTAACCTTTCCTGGTTCATCTCCCACTGTGGTGATGTACCCAAATCTAACCAGTGGCCTTCCACCTGCTTGCCATGGCTCCAGCCCTGGGCTTCCCTGGCGAGCCGTGACTGCTACCCTTGCTGCTGAGCTACCTGTTTGTCATGTGTCCACTGTATCCGACTATCACATCACACCTCCAGCTCTGGAGGTTTCTGTGGGGGCAACGCTGGATCCGCGCCAGCATACTGAGCTGCGTGTGACCCTGTGTTCATGGCTGTTGAGTCTAGAAGCCAACTCAAGGGAGGTGGGCTATGGGGAAGCCACCATGCAGCTGTGTGAGCAGGCAGCAACCTTAGCACCAGGCATCTTCTCACAGCACACATGGACAGCGTGACCAGAGAGAAGTCTGGGTATGCAAAGCCCAGTGACAATGGCCACCTCAAAACACCCGGCACACAGCCTTCAGCAAGGCTCTCTGCCATCTGTCCCACTCTTGAGTTGAATTAGGAACACATCCATCCATAGGCAGGCTGAGCCCAGACTGTCGACTACCCTGAGAACAGTAATGCAGAGATGGTAGCACAATTATTCTGTAGTGCTTTTGGGTCTCAAATTCTACCCAACTTCAGCTGTTAGGTTAAAGCCAAAAAACGGAGGAAAGGTTAGCAAATGGATAAAGGCACCACCCTTTCCTGGTCTGGGGCAGCTCCCCACCCAGCTGTTCTCCCTAATGGGTCCACACTCAAAGTTAGGAGGACTGGACACCTGAAAGGATGGGTGCTCCAATCACACACAGCCTCCAAGGTGAAGTCTGCAAGGCTGGTGCAACTGAGGCTCATGAAGATAGCCTAATGGGCAGGGTCTGGGGTGAGCTCTCACTCCATCAGCAAGAACATCAGGCTGCCAAGGGTTCAGAGACCAACCAAACAAAGACAGGGAGAACAACGAGACAACCACCAACAAGATAAGCAGTGGGGTGTCCCACACCACGATACACAGAAGCATCCAATCAATGAGATGAATGAAAAGGAATACACCCTTAGGTGCTCTCAAGTGTGCCTCCTAAGACCTTTGGTCACTGCTGGTAAAGGTGCGAAGAGATGAAATGGATTACAGAACACACGCTGGCCACACTTCCCTGAATTCAACTACACTTGACCTACAATGCTCTGTTAAGGAAATAACACACACAGAAGCACTGTGAGCCACAAGAAAGTTGGAAACAGTTGCGAAGCTCTGAAGGGGGAAATCGAAAGCCTGTGGCCATCTCAGAGCCACATGCTACGTGCTGCATGGCAAAGCCACATGGAGAGTGGACCTCAAAGCTGAAGCACAAGAAAAGCTCACAGCAACCAGTCCTCAACACCTGTCCCTCAGGGTGACAGAATGAGAGGCTTCTATGTTTCCTTTCTTACTTTCTTTATACTCTTAAGCTTTTCTTTCTTTCTTTCTTTTTTAAGAGAGAGAGAGAGAGAAATTTTTTAATATTTATTTTTTAGTTTTCAGCAGACACAACATCTTTATTTGTATGTGGTGCTGAGGATCGAACCCAGCGCCGCACGCATGCCAGGCAAGCACACTACTGCTTGAGCCACATCCCCAGCCCAATACTCCTGAGCTTTTCTTTGTTTTATTAACACTCCCTGGTGATCTCTGTCCTAGGAGAATGTGGAAGGCAGGACATGCACAGAGAGAGCTCCTCATCACTCAAGAACAAATGGCTCCCTTCTGAACACTTTCTCAATGGGACCGAATTTAAACCATTTGGTAAAGTCCTATCCCATCAAGGTTAACCTTTTCTTGAACTTCTATCCACCTCTTTTTGGAGTTCTTACCAAAAAACCACAGAAGTGACTGGGTCTATCCTGGGCCCACAACACCCAGTGACAGGTGTGCTACAATGCCCACCCCTTGCCCACCTGTGTGGTGTGAGCTCCAGTGCCCTCTGCCCACAATGCGTCGGTTCTCCTTCATGCAGGCCTTGCAGACCACTGCTTTCAGGTTGTGGAATCTGGTGAGCCAGGACCTCTGCAAACAGATCAGATGCAATTGAGAGCTAGTTCTGTGTCACATAAATAGCAAGGTCACACCCACGAGGGGCCCTGTGCCCAAGGTCACTGCACCAGCAAGGATGGAGGCCTGACAAGAGGGCTTGGAAGTCTGTTCCCTCATACCCCCTGGCAAAGCACCAGCACGCAGCTGTGCCTGTTTCGTCTTCCATAGGTTAAACCGACCTGTAGCCCTGCTGTAACCAGCTGGGTGACTGCCACACAATCTGGCTGAAAAGCCTGTGCAATTAACACACCTTGTTTCCCATCTCCATGCAAGAGCACTCACTGGGGAGACCAAGGTCACAGATAGCGGCAGATGGGGAGGCAGCGCGCTCTCTCCTTGCAGCCTCCTCTTACTAGTGAGCACTCTGCCTTGTATGCCTGGATCCTTGGGCGCTGGGTTCGATCCTCAGCATCATATAAAAATAAAATAATGAGGTGTCCACCGAAAACTAAAAAATAAATATTAAAAAATTCTCTCTCTCTTTAAAAAACAAACAAAACAAACCTGCTGTCACCTGTGCTGGCCAGAGACCAGGTACAAGAAAGAGGCCTGTGAAAGGACTCCCAGCAGCACCCTCTGGCTGTCTCCTGTAGCCTCTGTGGCAGTGATGCCCACAACTGAGGCATGCTTTTCCTCTTATTCAGCTTTTGCTTTCTGCTCTTCATTTGGGTTGCTCCCAAGTTCTGAATACTTAATAGCCCTATACCACCCTGGACATTTTTTCTTTTTTCGTTGAAAAATGATGGTGGATGCATTACCAAATGTTTCCCCTGAAACACTCCACATGAGCTAGGTGTGAACCTTACTTAGAAGTCTTGCAGGGATGGGCAGCAATGGTGCCTAGAAATCAGGAGCAGCACATGACCTCAACAACATGGGGAGCCTCCAGGGGTCAAGGTTCCCAGGCTGGCCTAGTGTTTGTAGGCCCCTCTGCCGGGAGAGTGAGCTACAGCGCACGTCTGGTGCTATGGAGAGCAGCCATGGAAACAGCCAGTGCCCCAAGGTCAGCCGAGACTCCTCAGTGCCTGGGATGGTAGGGAGGTTTCTGGGGAGCACGTTTGTTTTCCTAAAGCAACACACCCATTAGGACTGACAGCTAGTTTGTCTTCCGATGTCAACTCTAGGACTCTGCAATTTCAGGTTGCTGGATTTGTTTTCGAACGTGCAAAAACCAGAACTCACATTTTGTTCCAAAAGAGCCTCCACAGAATATCCTTTTTCAGACTGTAGGTATTTCAGATGGAAAAGCTTCCCATCAAACACGTTCCAGGGCATGAACTCACTTGTCTTCCAGGGGAAGCCACACGCACTATTGACCAGGGCGAGAGTGGTGAGGCCACGGACAAGAAGGGAACCCAGTTGCACAGCTCTGGGGCTGATGTACTCGAGCTGCAGAGACAAAGTGAAGAATAGCAGTCAATACCTGGGGCACAGCAGTGGCCACCAGGTCAGGCCTCATGGTCTCTGCTGCCTTTACCATAAATAAACTTAATTTAATCAAACGCTTTTTGGAATCCATTCATGTAACCACCTTTTCCCTCATCACTGTGTTAAGAAAGCAAACCATGGTAATTTTTTTTTTAGTTTTAGGTGTACACAATATTTTTATTTTACATTTATTTTTTTAAAATATTTAGTTTTTAATTTTAGGTGAACACAATATCTTTATTTTGTTTCTATGTGGTGCTGAGAATCGAATCCAGTGGCTCACGCATGCTAGGCGAGCGCATTACCACTTGAGCCACATCCCCAGCCCCTTTATTTTACATTTATATTGGTGCTGAGGATCAAACCCAGTGCCTCGTGCATGCTAGGCAAGCGCTATACCACTGAGCCACAACCCCAGCGCTCCTCCCCCCCCCCCCACCAACCATGGTAATTTTCAAGTGTTAAATCAACCGTGGATTACAAAAATAAACCCGCTTGCCTATCATGTCCCATAAGCTTTTACATATTACTACTAGACTCAATTTGCTTTTTTTTTTTCTTGGAAATTTGAATTATTTTTCATGAAACAGGGCTAAAATGTTCATTTTTCATCATGCTGCTGTTAGATTTTGGTATCAAGGTTCAGCTGAACTCATAAAAAGTGCTTAGAGAGCCTTTCCTTACCCAGCTGCTCCTCAGGGGTCTGGGAAACTCACAGGAGCCCTCTGGCCTGGAGGTCTCTGTGGGGCAAATTTTCTACAGACAATGGCTCAAGCAGCCTGTCTCCTCACATGTCACTGGCACCAGGCCCAACGCCCACAGAGAGGGTTCCACTGACCTGAGCTCTCCTGTACCAGCAGGAAGTTCTCCCACTGCATCTTTATGTGAGCAGTGTGCTATGTATGTACACTCCTTCTACTGGCAACTGAACTTCTCCAATTCTTACAGATTCTCAGAGGTTACTGATTTTACTTATTTTTTTCAAAAAAATTCTTTAGATACATCCTGCAACTACATGCAGAGCCAGCCCTGCTCTCAACACCCCACCAGGGATTGATTGTCTATCAAAATTAATGGGCCTACTAACTCGCCAACCAACGTCCATAGCTTTCAGGAGAGCTCACTCTATGCTGTAGATTCCATGGTTCTGACAAATGCTTAATGACAAAATCCCACCAAGAAGTGTCATACAGAGCTGCTCCCTACTCTAGAAGTCCTGGGCGGCCTTACTCCTCCTCCTCCCTGAGGACCTGTGACCATGCAGGGTCTCACACACAGAGCAATTTCAATCAGCTTCAGTTTTAGGCCATTCCAGCCCTCAGCAGTGAACAACAGGAAAAAAAAAGGGGAAGGGGTTGAAAAGCACCAATCCTCTTCTCTCTCAGCCCCAAAAGAACTGGAAAGGACAGTCTGGCACAGCAGTGAGCACCCACCCATCCTTGTCAAGTGTTCTGACCACCTCAGTGGGGATGACTCTTCCATTAGCTATGTGTCTTCACGACCTCGCTGCGCTCATTGGTCCATGGATACACATGTACGTATCCATATTTGTTTCTCTCTCAGTTTTAGCATTTTTATGATAATTACTTTTTCTTATCTTTTGAGGGTTAGGACTTTTGTTTTGCATTTTTTCCCTTATTTTTCTCTCCTCCTCTTTTCAGCTAAATTCTTATTCTTTCTCTCTTCATTTACTTTTTTTCCTATTTTTATCCTCCTACTTTATAATCACCACTTGCCACATCTCTTCTGCATTTACTGTTCACATTTTGAACACTCTAAACTCTTCTACCTTCTTACCACATTTTATTTTCTCTTAATGAATTTTTTAAATAGTTTTTTTAGAACTATTTGGTTTATGTGACTCCTTTCCCCACCACTCATGTTATTGCAGTTATTAGTGCTGTGGAAGACAATTGATACCTACTTTTTATTTCAATGCTAGATCTAGTTCATGGTCATTTATTGTTTTTGCTGCTGGCATCCCTACCATTCCTGTTTTTGTGGTAATGGTGTTGTAGATGTCATAGTAGCAACAGGTATTTGTTTTAATGCCATATGTTGTTTGCTTTTGTTGTTACTGTTTTGTTCTCCTTTTCTGTGAGATTTTGGGAATCCACAGGGACACTGTGCGAGTTCACAGGATGGAGAGTCTACTGCTAAACTCAACTCAGCCAAAAGACAGCACACCTTGCACCATACACAGATGACATTCAAACTCCACTGCACTCCAATATAAAAAAAAAAAAAAAGGAGAAAAAACAAACCCCCAACTAACAATTAGGGTGGAGTGGTAGCTCCCCAGTCCCACTCATGGACATCCACTGCCATGGCAAAACCAGAGTTAGCACCAAGGCTGGGACACCAAACCTAGGAAGAGGTCTCCGTCTAGATTGTGTGAGGACACACTGGCAAGAGAAGGCCCATACATGAGAGAGAGAGAGAAGTTCATTCCAACAGATGCCTGAAACCCAACAGAGTAAATCAAGAGACATGAAAATGCAAGGTAGCACAACACTTCCTAAAGCTCACGATTCACCAGCAAGTGACTCTAAAGATACTGAAGTGAATGCAATACCAGATAAAGAATTTTACAAAATGGTTGTGTAAACGATCAATAAATTCCAAGAAAACACACACATACAACTCCATCAATGAAGTCAGTACAGGGTACGAACAATAAATTCGATAAGGAGAGATACTGAAAAAGAACCACAGAAATCTTGGAAATGAAAGATAATAATAAATCAAATGAAATGTTCAGGTTAATGTCTAACAGAGTAGATCATGCTAAAGACATGATCTCAGAGCTGGAAGACAAAATGCCAACCTTGAACATTCAGACAGTACTAAAGAAAGAAAGAAACCAGACCAGAATATGCAAGAACTCTAGGACAGTAAGAGACCAAGCTAAAAAAATCACCGGAATTGAAGAAGATGATGAAACACAGACTAATGGCATGGATAACCTCTTCAGGGAAATAATAACAGAAAAAATTTAAACCTTGGGAATGAGATGGACCTCCAGATACAGGAAGCATTCAGAACCCCAAATAGACACAATCAAAAAAGAACCACTCTGTGATACATTAAAACAAACAAAACAAGAACAGAATTTTAAAGGCCTCGAGAGAAAACATCAGAACACATTTAGAGGCAAGACAGTCAGAATTATTTCTGATTTCTCAGTAAAAACTCTTAAAGTGGAGCTGAAGCTATAGCTCAGTGGCAGAGTGCTTGCCTAGCATGTGTGAGGCACTAGGTTTGATCCTTAGCACCGCATAAAAACTAAACAAATAAAGGCATGATATCCACCTACAACCATTAAAAAAAAAAAAAAAAAACTTTAAAGTGAGGAGGGCTGGAATGCTGGGTTGAAGCTCTGAAAGAAAATAACTGTCAACCAACATTGCTACATCCAGCAAAGATATTCTTTTTTTTTTTTAAATATTTATTTTTTAGTTTTCGGCGGACACAACATCTTTGTATGTGGTGCTGAGGATTGAACCCGGGCCGCACACATGCCAGGCGAGCGCGCCACCGCTCAAGCCACATCCCCAGCCCCCAGCAAAGATATTCTTCAAAACTGAAGGGAAATAAAAATCTTGCAAGATAAACAGAAACTAAAAGAATTCCTTGCTACTAAGTCAGCACTAAAAAACTTATTTAAAGAAACACTTCAAACAGAATAAAAAAAAACCTCCAGAGCTCACAAATGACAAATCTTATCTAAAAGGTGGTTAAGCAAATGAGAAACAAAACCAAATTAAACATTAGATATGAATCAAATGATAGGTATTTATACACAGCTCTCTCTAATAAAAATGAATATAAATTTCAATTCTCCAATTAAAAGACACGTTGGCAGAAGGGATTAAAAAACAAGACCCAACTATATGTTGTTTGCAAGAGATGCACCTTACAGGTAAAGACCACCACCGGCTGAAAGTAAAAGAATGGAAATTGATATACCATGCAAATGGAGCCCCAAACCAAGCAGGAGTAGCTACTCTCGTATCTGACAAAGCAGGCTTCAAGCCAAAATTCCTCAAAAGAGACAAAGAAGGTCACTCCATACTGGCAAAGGGAACAAAAAGATATAACAATAGTTAATATTTATGCCCCAAACATTGGTGCACCTAGTTACATAAAACAATATTCAAATTAAAGATTCAGACTCCAATACAATAATATTGGGTGGTTTCAACATACTTTTCTCACTGAAAGATAGGTCATCCAAACATAAACTCAGTGAATAATCTTCAGACTTGAAAAAATATTATAAAACTGTCTTAACAGATGTTAAGTCACCTAAGTTAAGTCTATCTCACTACTAATAAAATTAGTAATAAAAAGCCTTGCAACAAAGAAAAGTCCAGGACTGAATGGATTCTTAGCTAAATTCTATTAGACTTTAAAAAAGAACAAATGCCAACATTCCTCAAATTATTCCATAGAATAGAAACTTCAAAATTCATTCAAGCAACATTTTCAAATTCATTCTGTGAAGCCAGTATCAAAAGCATATCAAAACCAGGTAAGAAAACCTCAAGGAAAAAAAAAACACAACTATGAACCAATATCCCCAATGAACTTATGATGCAAAAATCCTGAATAAAATATTAGCAAATTATAATCAAGACTATATTAAGAAGATTGATCATCATAACCATTTGGTTTTAACCGAGAAATGCAAAGATGGTTTAACAAACGCAAATCAATAAATATAATGCATCGAATAAATACAATTAAGAACAAAAATCAATTATCTCAAAATCAGCCCCCCACTCATGATAAAAACACTGAAACAACTAGGGACAGAAGAAACTCACCTCAACATCATAAAGCTACATATGACAAACCCAAAGCCAACAACATAGCAAATGAGGTAAACGAAAAGCATTTCCTTTAAAATCTGGAACCAGACAAGGATGTCCACTCCATCCATTCCTATTCAATATAGTATTAAAAATTCTAGCCAAAGCAATTAGGCAAGAGAAGGGGCAAAAAAAAAGGATAAAAATAGAAAAAGAAGCAGTTAAATCATCACTGTTTTCAGATGACATGATCTGATAATTAGAAGATCCAAAATGTTCCACCAGAAGACTGCTAGAGCAATATGCAAATTCAGCAAAGTAGCAGGTTACAAAATCAACCACTGAGCTACATCCCCAGCCCTTCTTGGTTTTTGAGATCGGGTCTCACTAAGTTGCTGAAGGTCTCACTAAATGGTGGAGGTTGCGATCCTCCTGCCTTAGCCTCCCAAGTTACTGGGATCACAGATACACACCACTGCCAACTGACAATTCTGTTAACATTCTTGCCCTCCCTCTCCAACTCAAACTTCAACTCCACTGTCCCAGTTCATGTCCTCACAGGCCCTTGCATGCCCAGCTCGGCTCCACCCTCTGGTGACACATGCCCAACACGCAGTCCCCAGAGTCCTCTCACTTTCCTGCATGAAGCTCTGAATGGCCGGCCCCAGCCCCAGGACAGGCTCTGCACTTCCATGTGCCTGCAGCTCCATGAACCCTAGGCTTCCTCACTACAAACTGAACCATGAAATATACTATTCAGAGTCGCCCACCGGCGGCTCCCAAACCTCCATGGAGTTTCTCCGCCCTATTTTCTGAAACATCCCTGAATCCCTGAAGCTGCCTAGAGAGCCAGGCCAGGAGCCTTGGCCCTGTGGCACCCACTTAGCCAAGACAGGTGCCATCGCTGCTTCTATGCCTGCTGCAGTTTTCACATTAAACCCATTTCTTACTGGCAATTCAGACAAGTGGAGAGCTCAAACCTGGATATGGAATCCCATCCTAAGCAGGCTAAGGAAAGACAGTTTCCAGGAATGCAAGGTGGCTATTGGTGGCAGGACAGGAGAGGCACAAAGCCCCTAAAAGCCAGAGACCACACCAGAGACAAGCTCCACCTCGTGAGGCCACAACACGAAGGTCTTATTTTCTTGTCCAAGTAAATTTTATTATTTTTGGCAATGAACTCCCATTTTTTTCAAAGTTTTTGCTTTCAGAAGGTTATTTATTTAATGTGATTGTTTAAAAATCTATAATAGGGGCTGGGAATGTGGCTCAAGCGGGGTAGCGCGCTTGCCTGGCATGCGTGCGGCCCGGGTTCGATCCTCAGCACCACATACAAAGATGTTGTGTCCGCCTTGCTGGAGCAAGGAAACAAAGGGGGCACCGGCACCTCAACTGGAGGGCCCTCCCCAGACACCAAACCTGTGGGAGTCTCACTTGGGATTTAAGTCTTCAAAACTGTGAGAAACGAAATGTTTGTGGTTTAAGCAACTCTGTCCACAAAGGTCTGTTGTGGCTACCCAAACTGACACACATCTATTGTTTCATTCCTGCAGTTTTATTTAACGATAATAAAATAAAGCACTTTTCTAAATGCCTCTTAAGTACATGTTTAGACAATTCTGATTGTGCTGATGTTTTAGGGTTTATTCAGGAAAGCACTACTCTGAGGGTTTGATTAATGTACTCCCCAAGTATTTTGGTTCTATCCACAGAACTTCAGGGTTCACCGGCAAGAGCAGCACTAGGAGGGATCTTCATACAGAAGGGTCGTAGGCACACCTTCTACACACAACATCCTTGAGCATCATTCAGAGGTGCTGTAGAAGGAATGAAACCCAGACCCTAGCCTCTTCCTCATTTCCCACAGCACCAGTACCTAGACCCTGAGCTAATGGTTCCACCAAACTAGGCTGCAGAGCTTCCTGTGTGTGAGATTGAGGAGCTGGGCAAGGTAGTCTGGCCTCCCACTATGCAGCAGTACTGCAACTTAGGTACTTGACAGGAATAAGGCAATCTGGAAGAACAGAGCATCCACAGGTGGCAGAGCCACATCCTCAGTGCCTGTGGACTTCCGAATCAGGTTCTATTGTACAACTGGGTGGAGCAGAACTCAAGAGTTAGGAACTCAAATTCACAGCTCTCTGTCCTCCTGGGAACCACTACAAGATGCAGAGCTCTTGATGACTTCATTTCTACCTGCAAAACAAGATGAGACCCATTCACCTCAAAAGAATGGCATCAGAACTAACCACAGAAGACCTCAGAATCATCACAAACTTGCCCGCCTCATGCAGGGACTCAAGGTATCCTGGGGTGTATTTGGCTGGTAGATCCCATTCAAGGACATGGGTACACTCCTGCCCTTCTGCCATCCCTGAGCCTGCTGTCCTACCTGCTCACATGAGCCAGGAACCAGCGTATCTGCAAGAGCACATGGCTCCTTCACAGTGTCTCAACTCTGCTTCCCAGACAACACAGCACAATGAATGAGAATTGCTGAGTGCCATAAAACTTGACTTCAGGCACTGAAACGTTCATTTAATGTGATTTTCACATCATGATGTCTCATTCTTCTTTTGACTTCTCCCTTACCATTTAAAAATGTATGGTGTGGGCAGGTTCTACTTCATGCTTTCTCTATCAGGGCCTAAATGTGGATACAGCACTTAAAGGAAAAAGAGCCCCTATCAGAAATGACCCCAAGCTCCTGGTGTCAGGCTGAGAAAGACCTGTGGGGCTCTGTGTATCACATCCACAACCAACAGGACTAAAGGCAGAACAAGGCCGGAATCACTGTTCACTTGATGTGTTTATTTCAACAAATTACCTATTTGCTGGTAAATAGCAAAATGCTTTTCAACAGCACGCAATGACAGGAAACTCCTCGCATCCATGGTCCTTTGGTCTCCTGCAAATCCTACACCTCAGTGAGCTCAGCACAGCCCCACCCCCCATGCATCTCAGAGCATGATCTTCTCTGATTCTCCTCACCCATCTTCCTATCTGATGGGCAGGTGGCCAAGAGTCCTGGGAAGTGTTCCCTTGTGCCCTCCCCACTCCAGTAGGTTCCAGTGGGATGGCCACCCAAGTCACACCCTTTCTCTATCACCCCTCTCCCTTTGGGCAAGTGAGACAGTGTGGCAGTCCCCCATCCCACATCACAGGGTTGCTTTGGGGGCACTCTGCATCCTACCAGTCTTTGGGCAGCAGAACCTGACTCAATGGTTGCAACACAGTGCCCCTCCTAACCAGTGGAGAAAGACCTGGTTGTATCTCAAGCCTGGACTCTGGACCTATCACTGAAAGGTTGCATTCCACACTGCCCCTCACTGGAAGCAGCCCTCTGACTGGGTGGCATGCCTTCGTTCTCCTAGTGGGCCCCCTGAAGTCTAAATGGCCCCTCTCCCACATTAGTTCTCCCACTGGGCCCCCTGAAGTCTAAATGGCCCCTCTCCCACATTAGTTCTCCCACTGGGCCACCTGAAGTCGAAGTGGACCCTCCTCCACGACCCTGCTAGGCTTGGAAAGTCATCTCCTTTTCACAGCTCAGCTGGGAGAGCCAGCTCCACTGCTTAGCAAACAACTCTCTGAGATAAATCCTCCCCAGGAGCCCTCTGTCCCACAGGGGACTCACAGGGTCATGGCCCAGTGTCTGTATCACTGAAAACACTGTTCACAATCTCTTTTTTCAGACATTATTTGAAAACAGGGACAAAATATAAAGGTAAGGTCCAAGAGCCACCTCTAGTTTTAAAAGGCCAAGGATGCATCACCCAGGCCACCACAGATGCCCACGTGGCAAGGCAAGGATGTGAGACCAGGCAGTAAATAGATCCCAACTCTCCCACCCACTATCTCGGAAAGCCCCAGGTATCACCCACACCCACATCCTCAACTCACAGGTGCAGCTGTGCAGACCCACACCTCCCATGGCTTTGCTTTATGATACCTGGTCTCAAAATCCGGATGGCCTTGAAGTGCTCACGGCTTCTCTCACATGAAGGTGCTGAAATTAGAAGAGGCAGCCTCCAGATAGGAACCACAGGACATAGGCAGAATGTGGTGCTCAGCCAACACGGATCCTGGCAGCAGGGGTGCGCTGCCACAGGGCACATGTTCTTCTCCCTCCCTTGACACCATCAACACCAGAGCCCTAACTGGCTTTCCAACCTAGGAGCCCACCAAGCAATCCCCAAATCATTCCAGTTATCCACACCCACATGTGCCAAGGGGCTCCTGGCTTCACCAAGTTAACAGACCTGCAGCACTTCCATGCAATGGAGTGGGTGTCTCCAGAGGGAGGAAAGGCACTCTCTTCTGACTTTCTGGGATCCCAGGGCCAGTGCCACACCCCGCAATCAGCTCTTCCAAGGGTACTGCTGGGAACCCCACAGGGAAGGTCAGGGAACATTTGCAAAGGCAGCTTCATGCAGCACTACATGCAATTAAACAGCCACATGACTGGTCCAGATGGACACCGCCCATCTCAGGAACTGCTGGTGTACCTTTCAACTGCAGAGGATAATGTTTGTTGGCAGTGTACTGGGTACTGAAAATAACCAGGAGCCAAACATGGGCCCCTTCCTTCCAAGAGGTCACAGTCTGGCAGAGGAAGGCACTCTGAAAACCACCAGAGGGCATGTGGTTCACTGTCTTGACCTCGGATCCCACAGAGCAACCAGCCCAGGACATGCTCCAGACCCACCTTGTGGGAGGTGTGTGTGTGGAGGGAGGCAGCACGCACCCTCAGAGCAAGAGCTGCACTTAACAGAGAAGTAGAAAGACAGCACAGGCTCAGCAGAGGAAACCCCAGAGGTGCAGAGACTGGGTGCCTACTTGAGTGGCATCGAGGGGCTTTTAACTTCTGCCTTGGTGGTTCTGTGCAAGGGGGAGCAGGATTTTCACTAGAAGGAACTGAAGGAGAAATGAAGGAGAGAGGGAATATATACCCATGTCGCAGAGCTGGCCTGATGACCAGAGAGGCCCAGGAGTGGAAGCAACGCTGGAGGAGAACACCATCCTAAGTCGAAGACACTAGGGTTTTCCAGCCAGGAGGCAGAACCAGCAGAAGAGATGAGGGTAGGATGAACACAGAGAACAGTTGCTCGAGGGACTGAGCCCCAGGGCCTTGATGAGAGGCCCCAAGGGCTGAGCGCAGCCCTGTCACTTTGGAGAGAATAGTGGAGATGACACATTTTAAGAGATCTTCCAAATCATTCCTAGAATCTTTACAGCCCAAATTATCAGAGTGTGAAAGTTTCAAATATGTGTGAATCATGGGAGATACAAAGATTGTTAGAAACCTGAAGCTAACAGATGGCAGTTTCAACTCACCCAACAGAGATCCCAACAACAAAGGTTCAAGAGTTTGGTGCAAGATGTGAGAATGCCTGGCTCAGAGGGCTACAAACTGTCGCAGCAAAGTTGGTGTCAGGTGACTGCTGAGCACACAGGGCCCTAGGTGAAGGCCTGCAGAACCATCGCTGGTGATGCGCCAGCCTGGACAGGTCAGCACACAGCTAGCTCCCTGCTTCTCCATGCTCCTCTCTGCCCTTCAGAGTACCCAGGGCTGAAGGAACTCTGCTCTACACCCATGAGCAGTGGGGGACTGCCTGGGCTCCAGCGCTCGCCCTGGGACCACCTTGCAGAAGCAGCCCATGCCCACAAGCCACTTTTCACCAGGGCACAGCTTGGACTTTGTGAAAGGATTTCTCTGAACATCAACTAATGTTTTTTTCTTCTAATTCCCCAATCAAAATATGACTAAGAACTTCTTAAGGAATGGCCATGCAAAGGTGGCTAGCCTCTTGGAGACCCCAGCTCACTGAGCTCTCAGTGTGAAAAAAAGATCCAGAAGTTTTCAGCTTGGGGACAAGTCTTCCACTTGACAAGAAATGGGGGACAAAGCTGCAGGGGGTGGGGGCATTCTTGTACAGAGACCCATAGAGACGACAGGAGGGCAGAGAAAGCTGGAGGAGTTCTGCAGGTCCTCCAGGGGCCACAGGGAATTTTAGATGGCCACTGAACCCCAGACCAGGCACAGGCTCAAGAGGCATCCCAGAGTGTGGACGCCAGGGCTGGCCCCAGTGAGGCTATATCTAAACCACCATAGACCTGTTTTATAGAGGAATTTATTCTGACCAAACATCAGATTGCTACAAAGCACTGTGGGGTGGACAAGGTGGCTATCACCCCCTTTTAAATTCTGAGACAGCAGGTAGCCCACTTGAGTTAGAAGTTACAAAGTGAACCAGCACTCATGACTCTTCCCACTTCACAAAGGCAGGGCCCGGGAAGTGAGCATTAAACACCAGTGTCCACAGCATTTATGTCAGGGCACACGAAGACACTGCCCAGCCAGGGGACCTGAGCCAGCCACTCCTTGGCCCTGGCAGAGCTCTCCTCAGGGGCCAAGACCCAAGCTCCTGTCCTCCAGGCATCTGAAGAAGGGAATTCTTGGTGTCTGTTCTTATAACTCTGTGCTTAAGTAACTTACTTAATTTGAGTAAAGACAATTACTCAAACTCTAAAACATCGGCGTGTGCACATGCTTGTTTTCACACAGGCTGTTATCAACCATGTGACCCTACTAAAGGGTGAAACACAGGCATATCCCCAGAATTATAAGCTAGAAGCCCATGAGGCCAGTTACACTGCAACCTGCAGACCAGAAGATGTGGTCTGACCTTCCAAGGGAAGCTCCTGTTCCTCCTCAGGCCCAACAGCAGTGTCCCAGAATTCGCAGGACTGTCCTTCACACAGCATGGAAAAAGCCATGTTCTGTTCTCTGCTAAATGGAAATACTCCTTTCTCTTTCTTTCTCCTGGTTCTCCTGATGTGATTACTGCAGCTCAGGACTTGTGTTTCTTGATTTCCTATCTTGGGTATTTCTGCATGTGTAAACAAATGGGTGAATAATCGTCCTTCAGCACCTGCAGGGGACTGGCCCAGTGCTCCCCAGAAACCAAGCCTGTGGATGGCCAAGTGCACGCATGGGATCATGTATCTTTTTGTATGCTCTGCACCCCTGTCCCTACCCCTGTGTGCTGTCAATCATCTCTGGATCATGGATAGCGTCTGACACAGTGTGAATGTCATAAAAATAGTTGCTGCACTGCACGGTTTAAGGCCGTGAGGAGTGACAAGGAAAAGTGTGTACGTGTTCAGTCCACACATATGCACACACATGCAGCATGCACATGGAGGTACAGAACAGGTGCTACTTCCCCACAGTAATGCTAACCAAGAGTCCAGTAAGCTCTTCTCCAAAACCACGAGACCATCGGGCCAGGGCCGAGAACCCATGGCTTCCTCGGACCTGGAACTCAGCAGCACCATCAGCATCTGGCCTGGGGCCCATCTCAGAGCCACGCAGCATGAAGACAAGCTACTGCCCGAGAAGAGCCCTCGGCACATACGACTTCTAATCCTGTCAATGGAATACCACTGCAGTGGAAAGGGATGGAAGCACACAGCCTCTGGTCACAGAGTGGCCATCTCAAGACCGGGGCACCTGGCTGGTGGGGTCTGTACCTGCAGGTCCACAAGCTGTGCGGTCGATCTTCCCTGGAGGCACAAGGCCTGGGCAACAAAGGCATGCAGATCCTCCAGGCAGAGTGTGTCCACCTGAAAGCAACAGAAAAGGTCTGCATTAGGTCACAAGAAAGATCCAAAGCTTCTGTAGTTGACCTGAGTCATTGAACATGGGCCTGCCACATATACACAGAAACACAAGTAGGAACACAGGTGGGCACACAATGCTTCTTAAGCTGGGGCAGCAATAAGGCCTGCCTGTGGGAAAGCGCAGCTGCTCCGCTTCCCCTACACAACCCCCGGCTCAAAGCCCTCTGGTGTCCTCAGCTGTGCACATGACTCAGGTTAAGCTGGACAGGGGAACCTGGATTTCCAGTAAGGTCTGGCTCCTCTCAAGCCAGGAAGAAAGGCTCAGATTGTCTGGGAGTGAACAGGAGGTGCCAACCAAGTCAAGTCTTAGAGCAATATGGCGAGCACTTTGGGCACACACCACAGAGCAGACCACACAGGCTCTCCAGACAGCACCCACAGCTAGGCAGAGCTGGGGTGGCAGGAGGGGCACATCCACCTCCAACAACCTGAATGGAGCTGTGTTCTTGCCAGAGTCCCACAGCATGAACCCTCTCATTTTTTGTGGATTCAAAAGGGCTAACAGAAATACAGAGAAGAGACAGAGAAACAAGGGAAAGAGACAGAGTGGGAAAGCTGAGTCTCAAGTGAGCCGTGGTAACGAAGAAGCCGGAAGAGCAGAGACAGACTGTGCCTCTGCCTCTCTCCTACCTCGCACACACCTGAGACTGCCACTGTCCTCGTGGCCACTGCACTACCCAGTTACCCCCGACTCCACTACTACACAAGAACGCAAGGGCTTTTCCCAGATGGACAGCAGCACAATGTGGCAAGTGCAGGCTAGGGGGAAGAAGCACAACAGTGAACTTAGGAGTCCGGGGTCCCCGATCCCTTCTGAGTAATAAATGCTGGCACGTCCACTCCCAGCAAAGGGGCCCACTGTAACTTTGAGAGACCATCTATTAGGGAATCCTGCTGACCCCAGCCACGAGACACCACTGGAAAGACACCACATGGAGCTTCAAGTATGTGCCACCCCACCCAGGCAGATAGGCTCTCACCAAGATCTGGGCATGTTCCATGTTTACTCCAAAGTGCTGTCACCTTTACACTAGGGACAGTAATGTAAATTATTTCAGGAAAACAGCTGCCTATGTACAGTATTCATGATCAGGAAAAAGGATGTCAATCTTAGAAGCAAGACCAAGCATGAACTCCCATATCTCTGCTCAGACTGAGGCTGGCTGCAATCCACCCTCTCGCCACTGTTGCTCCGACAGGCTCTTCTTCACCACCCGCCTCTGAGAAGGGCACTGCTCTGTAACGCATGGAGACTCCTCACAGTCTGCGCTGGGAAGTCCGACCTCCTGTTGTCGGCAGTGGTTTTCATTAGACAGCGCACCTTATATAGTAGCTGCTCCACTGCAAACCGCTCATCTGCCACCTCCTCATGAGTCCTGGTCTTCTGTCATTGCTTCTGTCATTGCTGTTAACTTGAAGGTTTGCCCAAACAAGAAGACTGAGTTCCTCTACAGCTTCCATACACTGCACAGCATGCAGTTTCATCCCACACTGCATAGCAAAACACCAAACTGAAGTGTAACTACACAAAACTAATATTTTCACAAATGTACCTTTGTGGCTTCCTATTCTGAGAATCATCATCCCTATATCTGGAAGCACAGCACCTTTCCACCCTCAAGGACACCCTGTGGAAAGTTCCTCTGCAACCAAACTGACATATCCACTTGCGCCAAGAGAGGTCATGGTCAGGACAGGGTGGAATCCTTGTCTCCCTGCTGCCTTGTTCCAAGTCTCAATGAAGTGGACATGACGCTAAGCTCTGGGATGCTGGGCTCTTCCTGCCTGCACAATGAAGGGGAGCACAGGAGAGCTGTCGCATGACCAGAGATGGATCACAAAGCCATCTCCACTGAGGGAAAAGGCGCTCAACGTGCCCATCCCAAAAGTGCTGATGCATGCCACTCCACTGCACACAGTACTGCCAGCAAAGCACTCATTGTTATGGGTGAGAAAAGTCCACTTTCTGGCTATCCACTGCTTCCCAGTTTTCACTACATCTCAAATTCAACCATAGACATATGAAGATAAATGAAAAATGGATGAAAAAAAGTAACCAATGATATACTGATGGACAGTTAACGTGCATACCAAAGAAATTTTAACACTTAAATATTACAAAATTCCTGACATCTATATAAATTTATGCTTTTCTATCTTGTACAAAGAAGTATTCTACTCAATCCAGTAACAAAAACTAAAGTTTCTACTAGCATATGCTATAAAATCAGTAACAGAAGATCTGTCTAAACACATTCTGTTTTTACAAAATGGTAGCTACAGAATGGGCAGAGAATACTTAAAAAAGAAAGTCGGTGTACAGGTACAATTCCACAATAGGGAAGTTTTTCAAAGATAACCAATAACTGAATGACATTTCACTCTACACAACTAGAAGCTGAACAATACATGCCAGGGCAGACCCACCCCAGAGGGAGGGCAACAGGGAGATGGGGCCTGACGTTCACAGGGCTAGTGACTGTCCTCACGGCTGTAGAAGAGACACACACCACAAGCAGGAATGATGTTTCTGAAGACAAGTGTGGGAAGGAGACACCTTTAACAAGTGTCCACCACGATCACAAATATGGGGGGAAAAAAAACAAAGAAAAGCCTTTTAATTGGCTTTTATGATTTTCTTACATAAACTAAGTGTAAGACTACTGAAAAACAAATAGACCAACTTGCTGAGTGACACTAACATGAAGGATCTGGCACTGTAATTCTTACAGCGCAGTCCATAGCCAGGGCCACATGAGTTCCTTAAGGCAGGAGAACATTAGTGACAAGAATACCGAGGACATCAGTGGACATCGTACAGGGCACTACTGCAAAACGTTTCACGTACTCTAGAATATGGCTTCCAATAACCCCAGAAGGCAGCTATTGCTATTATCTCGTTTGCAGATTGGAAAAGGAAGTTATATACTCAGTAAACATTTTTGGATAAAGGAATGGACATGACCTGAGAAAGCTGCAGGGACTGCCCAAAGGCAGAGCGACCAAGGGAGAAGCCAGCCACTTTCACCCACCACTCTATGGGACCCAGGAGCAGAAGGGACATAGAAGCAGACGCCACCCACTAATCACAGGAGGACCAAGGGCAGGGGTGACAGCCTGAGACAGTGAAACCAAAGCACCTCACCTTTCCAAAGCTTCTGACTAACATGTACCATAACTCCTGAGTTTAGAGCAGAGACAGCCCTTGAGCCCATCTGAGCACAAAGCCTGTTTTTTTTTTTTTAAAGATGTTGATAGACCTTTATTTTATTCATTTATTTATATGTGGAGCTGAGAATTGAACCCAGTGCCTCATACAGACTAGGCAAGAACTCTTATCACTGAGCACAACCCCAGCCCTCACAGAGCCTTCTTCTTCTGTGAGCAACTCGAAAGACTAACAGTGTTCCATGGAAGAGACACTGGGAAAAGATACCCCAGGGACAGCCACAGCACCCCAGGAAAAATGGGCCAGAGTGAAGATCAGCTTCAGACACAGCAACAAAACTTAGTGTTACCTGGACAAAGAGGTAGATCAAGAGGCAGCACAGAGCTCTCAATGGGCTTTCGACAGCCAGCAGCTCATCTCTTGAAGAGGAGAGGTTGAAACAGGCTAGGAGTGCATCCACACGCCGCGCCTGCGCTGCTGCCTCTTGGTTCAGCCACAGGGATCTCAGACTGGGTGTTCCCCCTAAAAAAAAAACAACCCTTCTTACTCTTTTTATTTGCAGCACCAACCAAACTACTAACAAGCTTCCTCTGGAAACACAGCAAGTGCAAACATCTCTTCCTTCATTATATACTTGAGGCCTCAAACCTTAAAAGAAACTGGAACATAAATATGAACACAGCTTCCCAGTTTTAAAAGAGAACAAAACCTGAAGGGTCACTACACATACTTCACTGAAAACCTCCTTCTGTGGGAAGCTGGGACTCTAGCTCCCACTGTTGGAAATGCTTCTGAAAACAGACTCCACTGGGCAATTCCAGAGTGTGACACGGGGCGCCACCCTGTGGTGGCACACCTCTGGGTGTGCTGTGAGGGGTGCAAGAGAACGGGCTGCAGGACCACTGGATGTGTTTTCCTGGGATCTGTGGGGACGTTCTGCTCAGGGGAGGCGTGCCAGGGATTCTACAAGCCAGGATATGGGCATCTCGACCTCACGCTCTAGAAAGCACTGCCCTAAACTTCAGAAAAATTCCTAAAAAACTAATTTTTAGTGTTTCATTTCTGTACTTTACACATAAATTTCTTTAAAAGTCAAAAGAAAAACCCTTCATCTACTTAAGTCAGGAAAAGCATCAGTGAATGTGGGGAAGACACAGCAGACATGGGCAGCTCCACCCTGAGCAAACACGAAGGTGCCGCCATGAGACTGGTGGAGGGTAAAACCTCTCCATGACGCTCAGCAGCTCTGACCTCCTGTCAGGCCACTGCTACACAACATATGCCAAAACCACAGGGACGGCTGGGGTAAGAGCTCCCATGTGTTGGGCTGGGATTGTGGCTCAGCGGTAGAGCACTCGCCTAGCACGGGTGGGACCCAGGTTCGATCCTCAGCAACACATAAAAATAAAGGCATTGTGTTGTGTCCATCTATACCTAACAAAATAAATACTCTTAAAAAATATATACAAATTTAATTTAAAAATTTATATCCCCCCAAAAATGAAAATTAAATTTGAAAAATGCCTAATTAGGCTATGGATAGGTGGTTGTAGATAAGTTCTTGAATGTCCAGACTAGGAAATATGTGTTTACCAAGAAACAAGAAACAAGAGCGGCTAACCAAAAGGCACCAGAACCCAGGGTCTCAGAAGGAAGTCTTCACTCTCTTTTGTCCCTTGAACCATCCAGTGTTCTCAGGGGTACTTCTCCCACTGTCAGAAGTGAGGCACTCACATGTGCTAGGCGAGCGCTCTACCACTGAGCCACAACCCCAGCCCCAAGGTCACCTCAAGGACAGGAAACTCAGGCAGCGCTCAGTTGAGGGCAGCACTGCTGTCTGCCTGGCACGGCCACGAGCAGAACAGGAGGCAGCAAAGCACCCTGCAAGCTCTCCTGATGGGGAAGGAAAGGTCAGTCTGCAGGATCCCACAACTGCTACCCAATATCACACCACCAAGAACACCTGTGATGGGGAACAGACACTCTGCCTGCCCCTCTAGTTCAAAAATCACTCCACAATATTCGTCATGCCTATTAAAAAGCATTAAAAATGTTAAAATCTTATCCTTTTTACTGATCGTTATCAACATAACTATAAACAAAGAGCCACAGAAGTTCCCAGTCCTATTTTTAGCTTTCTAGCTAAGGAACACACACGTGTCTGAGCCGAGGCCTTTGGGGACAGAAGAGGCAGCAGGCCATGGTCCATGGCACTGCACACACCATCTGCAGCTCCAGATGCCAGGCAGAATGCTTTCAGGACCACCAAAAGGAATGTTTCCAATACTTACCTGATTTCCAGAGTTTATATACAGCAAACTTCAAAATTAACACATGATATGATGAACAGCCAAACATTCTAATTTGAATCATGAGAAAACTGTAATAAGCCATTTCCATGTAACTTTTGGAAAGATACCATAAGATGGAAGTTATACGTATAACAAAGCACTCTTGGAAAATCATTTTGGCTACCCTATAAAAAATTCTTCTTAATGTAAAATCAAATGTCAATGTGCTTTAATCTATTTTTGTGATAACTTCTTTTTTAGGGTTGAGTCTATCACAGCAAAACAGCTAAACAAAAAAGGAAATATTGCCTTACAATAACTTTTCTCGACACTTCTCCTGGTATAATTTCACTTATTAAAAAAACTACTTGCAGGGCTTGGATCCATATTTGGTAATATACACTCATGGAATGTAAAGTGGCAATGCCAAAGAATTAGCATATGAAAATAGAGTATCAAAATTTTAGAAAAAATATTTGTTTCTAAAATAATGACATGGGCTACTAAATATAAATTCTAAAACCCACCCTTCCTTCTCCAGAGCATTCAATACGCAGGACACAGCCCAACTGCTGGGTGCCCCAACAGTGTTCATATATTGAGAATTGTGCAGAGAAAGGTTGATGTTTGGATTCACTTCAGCTGGTTTTTCATGACCTTTGTTTTTCCTTCCTTTTCACAAAGCTCTAAGGCATTGGCCATGAAAAGAAAACTTACTTTTCCAGATCCAATAAGTCTCCTTGATCTCCCCTTTCTAGTACTATCCCTAGAAAAAATATATTTCTGAAGACACGAGCTTATTCAAGCAGAACATCAGGAACCCTACCTTGTAAGTTCAGAGGTGCTTTCAGCACCCAGAGGCAGGTAGGGCACGGGGCGGCAGTGGCCTCTGATCACAGCCTCACGTTTCTTCCTTGCCACTGCTCTGGGCCTTGAGCAAGAAGAGGAAGAAGCAGAAGCATGCAGCAGACAGGCCCAGAACCTGTCCTCTAATGCATGAACACCTTACCAGAGATGCGCTCATCTAAGGCCAAAGGTTGAAAGGAAAATCAGAGTTTGCACAGCACCGCAGAACTCATCACTGGGCTTACGTCCTACATCGAACAGACCACGGCCGTCTATACCTGGAATGATCATCGGCAGAGGCCTGACGAGGTCCGGGTGCCGCAGTGGGTTCCCAGGGTACACGAACCACTCCTTCACAGCCAGACTGGCGCTGATGTCATCTGAGGAAAGACAGCAGGTCAGAGGGCAGGAGGCCCACTTGGTCTGTGGGCACGTGTCTGCCCCATGAGAGGTCCTCTCCCCGAGGGGACCTGACTTGGTCAAGGCACTGACAGCTTTTTCCTTCCCTGGCCTGAGGGCAGCCCTCATTCCAAGGAAAGCCAGAACCTGGGGACCAGACCTGCCAGGTTCCTCCCCCTTTATTCATACTCTGGCAGAAAATACTGAGAGAAAAATGCTGGGAGAGAAAAGTCCTTTCGGTCTTTAATAGACTCTGAAAAAAGTTGGTTCAATAAGCCAGGCACATTGGTGTAAACCTGAAATCCCAGCAACTCAGGAGGCTGAGGCAGGAGAATTACAAATTTGAGACTAGTTTCAGCAAACTTAGTGAGAACCTGTCTCAAAATAAAATAAAATGGGTTTGGGATGTAGCTCAGTGGTAGAGCTCCTCTGGTTCCAGCCCCAATACCAAAAAAAGAAAAGAAAAAGGTTGGTACAATAATCCAGAACAAAAGGGCTTACATACAACAGATGAAGAACTGTAGGAAAACTCAGCTTGACCTCACTTCTGTGTCTCACTCAGCATGCCAATGTGAAGGGCACTTTCTACTCAACACTCCTGCTGGTCTGGAAACCCTCAGGCACAGCGGCAGGATCTCCATAGCAACAGAACAAGCCCCTGCTCCACACCTCCCTCCTCCTGCCCCCAGGGCCACTGGCTCCCTTGCTTAGAGGGCTCTCTGCACCCAGTATGATATGAGTACCAGAAAATACAATAGGGTCATTGACTAGTGTCAATAATCTATTAATTAGTGTGTGTGTTAGATAAAGACTTTAAGTATTATGTCCATGGTGTAATGTAAACTACAAAATTCAGATACTAACTACAGAACTTAGGTATGACTTAAGTTAGTGTTGTAAGAGTCTACGTCCAGGGGGTAGACCCCAGAGCCCACCCAGTTATCAGCTACAAGCACAATTGAACTAGGACTTGAAAACCCAGGCTTCTAGGGGCCAGTGGGACTAACCAGACCCCGATAGAGAGACAGAGACCTCTGTCTCTATTGTTCCCCTTGCACTAGACTCCTCTGGCATGGATCGAGTTCCAATGACCTGGACTTAAAACACATCACAGGTGAATGCCTGGGACCCTTGTGTGTAGCCTCGCTTAGGACTCAGAATTAGGATGTGTATCTGAAGTGTAATGAGCGTTAATAAGACAGATTTGGTTGAATCTAACTGCACCTCAGACTGAGTCTGTAGAAACCACTTGTGACACATTGCAGCCATTGTTCCTGTCTCCTGAGCCTCTCACCGGAGCTCCTTTTGTTCAGGTCTCTGAGTCCCCCACACCCCTCTGGGGTCACTGCTTCCTGCTGACCTGGGAAGCCAACGCCTTGCTCACTGCCCTCACATCCTTTGTTCAGGTTTGCCCCACCCTGCTCTACTGAGATGTCGCTACCCAGCAGACACTGTGTGTTTATTCCACTCTCCCTGCAACTGGCCCCTGCCTATCAACACCCCATCCCTCCTAGGCTCCTCCCAACTCCATCTCCTCCTTTGCAAAGCTGCTGTCTTCTTGCCCATCCCTAAAGCTAGTGTCACAGGTTCAGTCCTGCCCTGGTGCACAACTAGGCCTCTGGGACTGCCTCTAGCATGCCTCCTCGAGCTCCAGCACGAGCTGGCCCTCACTGGCCAACAGCAGAAACGCATTCTGAATGGAGTCCTTACAACTGCACAACAGGTAAATCACACAACAGGAACAAAAGGCCAGAGCAGGGTCTGAGCAGAAGGCTTGGGCAAGCCAGGTGCATCTCTCCAGGACATGACCGTCTCTCCACACATCATTTCCTACCCACTTCCAGTACCCAGGCATGCCCATCACATCTAGGCTGTGCCCTGCCTGGGAAGAGAACTGCCCCTGAGATTGCCCCCTACCCCCTGTCCTCCACACTGGCACTGAGGAGTGCAGGCTTGGTCCTTGGCCCTCATCTGCAGTCTTAGCCTCAGCCAAGCCAATCTCCAATGCAAATGGAGGGTTTTTTTTTTGTCTTTTGCTTTTTTAAAATGAAAATTTAACCAGGCTGCTGCCTAATTAAGATCTCCCCCAGTGGCTATACTCCTGAATACAAGTGCCCGCTGTTTGCCTCTGCCCCAGAACTCTTCTGGGTCGCCTACCTGGCTGCAGGTCCTCAGGGCCTCCCACTCCCTGTTCCTCCTTTGCTGGCTACAGTGTTCCTTTGCTCTGGAACTGTCCCTTGCCACCTCCCTTGTTCTCCACTTGGTTACGTCCTCTCTCCTTGCGTCTCAGTGTGGCCTGTGGCCTTGAGTCCACACAGCAATGCCTATCTTCTCTCCAATGCAGAGCTTTGGCCAGGTGCTGCTGATGCCCACTTATTAACCACAGGGTACAACCCCAGCTTTAAGCTTGCCATAGCAAACTCTGTTCTTAGCAGAAGGCCAGACCAGACGCTCATGAACTGAACTGAATGAACACTTCAACTCATCCTGAATTTCACACACACACACCCTGAAAAGTATTCTTACAGCTGTTAAAAACAAAACAACAAAAACACCCACTCTGTGTGGTCCAACTGAGGTGATTTTCGCTGCACTGGAAGTTCCTGGGTGGATAACATGCTAAACCACAACTGGCTTTCCTCCCTCACTGGAGACAGCACTGCCAAGAGTATCCTTGGGAAATTGCTGAATACAGACAGCTATGTACTACGCAGACTCTGCACAGGAAAACTCCTGGCTGCCACCCATAGAACCAGCTGGCTAGAGGACAGAAGCTAATTAAACTGCTGGCTTGATTTTTTATTGCCCAGATAACATTTCATCTGAAACTGGTAAACCCCAGGGAAGGGCATAGGAGAAGAACTGGTAATAAATAGACAGGTGTTAAAGTTGCACTGTCCCTTGGAGTACAGGTGCAGGGACATTTAAATCAGAGCCAGGAAGCCAGACAGTGTGCCAGACTCTGCATTAGCAGAAGTCACATCTGACTCTGCTGGCAGGCTCTGTGCAGCTCTGCTTCCCCCTGGCCGAGAGGAGGAAATACAGCACTCAGGGCTAGCCCTGTCAGCATCCATGAAGAATAAGCTTGTGTTGTCAACATCCAGTTTGACCTTTCAGATGCAGCACTTTCAATCCCTAGTCCAGATCGGCACTGTCACACACACAGTCACACCTAAAAAACTCTGCTAGACACTATACACACACACACACACACACACACGAGCTCTTAAGTACCAGCTCCCGCCATCACCGGCAAGATCAAGGAGTGGGGTGGGCTACGTTGGGCAGGGGGAAAGAGAAGGAGCAGCAATGTCAGCCCTTCATTATCGGGATGTTCCAATTTGGTAATAATCTCCCAACTTTTCAAAAGCTGTATCTTTCCTTTTGGTTCTGATATTTTTATATTGCTGCCTTAGTCTATGTATGTGTATGGCCTCAGTTCATACGTTTGTGTATGGCCTCAGTTCATATGCTAGTTTTTACACACATCCGAAAAGTTACCTATTGAGTGGCTATTTAGGATGGGCTGGACTCAGAAGGCCAATGGCTGTCCTCTGACAATATACCAACCATCCTGAAGTTTCCCTGGTTCCTGGGATGTCTATTGGAAGGAAATGAGGCAAAAGGGACAATGGGTCCAAGGCTGCCAGCACGCCTGGGCTCCCCCAACACCGTCAACCAAGGATAGCTACAGGAACAGAGCAGACAGACCCCACCTCTTACATGGAGTCTCTTTTACACCCTTACGTTTAATGGAAGCTTTCACTGAATGATTCAAGCTATGATATATCCATTAGAGGAGACTTAAAAAGAGATACAAAGGCAAGAATGGGTCTGAAGGCAGGGACTTTAGGGCTCCCACCCTGTTGACCACATGCCATCTAGGACATTCAAACACCACATGCTCATCTACACAAAGCACACATGTGGCAATACCAACACACACTCCCTTGAGGCTCCCTGTGAGACATCAGGTGAGCTGACATGCCCGAGATCAGGGTCCAGAATGTATCCTTGGGGGGAGCTTGTAGGACCAGCACGCCAGCCCACGGCCTGAGACTTGAGATTGCCAACTCAGGCCACGTGAGGCTGGGCTGGGCTCTAGGCTGGGTCTGCACCATGAGAACGAGTGGTTCCTCCATTTATTCAGGCTGGCCTGGAGACTGCTACCAACCTGAGAAGGCTGCAGAACATGTCTCCCACCTGAGTGTTAAATCCAATCACAAGTTACCTTCTCTGCATTGCTAACTGTAGACACCCTTGAAAATCTAATATTTTAACTAAACATTCAAAACCCTTAAACTCAAGACCTGATGCACACCAAGAAACCCACCAGGGGCAGCAAAAAAACATCATGCCAACATTTCAGCCCAGCAAGAAGGACAGACAACCAGGCACAGGAATGAAAGCACAACTGTGAAAAGCCTAAGCATGACAGCCATCATTCGCTATAAGAGCGATGGACTTTAGACTGACAATAAGGGGAGACATGGGGGAGTCAGTTTTAAGGACTTGAGGGATAAACAGAATTGATCAGACCTATGCCTAGGGTTAGCATGGTTTAAGCCAGAGAAAGATTCTGTGCTGTCAACCTGGGCAGTTCCTCAGGAACTGCCAGAGACAGCTTGGGTATAAATGTGAGGACTCTGCCATGTGGAGTTTGGCAGACAGCTGGAGCCCAGAGGGAGGGAAGGGGGCTCGATCCCAAAGCCAAAGATGCCAGCGTGATTCCCATCCCCAGGCTAAAGAGAGTGGAGGAATTCAGGAGGAGAGGAGAAGCAGTGAATTTCATGTAGGTCAGGGCAAGTGGTCTTGGGAGCTCAGGTGACTGCCCAGGAAGGCCCTGCCTAAAGAGCAGGGTGGTACCAGCTCCAAGGCATAAACTTTCAAGGACTAGAAAATTAACTGCTAAAATAATAGACCTCAACAGCCATCCTAGCACCTAAACGTTCCAGCAAGCCAACCAAAGATGCCTGATGAG